GAAACTGGTTGACTATGCATCTTTGACTGAATTTCGTGAGATTATGTAGCGGTTAAAATGAGGAAGTTAAGATGCAATATGAATGACAAGATAAAGGCTGAAGTGCGCCATGGCATCTATCCTGTGTACTTAGAAAGCTTCCATATCTTTGCGGTATCAAGGCAATATTACTTGAATTAGTCTGCGTCTTGCGTTAAAAACTCGTTACCATTTTTTTGCTACATTGCGCTAATACCAAAATTATTCAAAATAACCAGGAAGGCTACGATTTCGGCCCTAAATCAGAGCTCGTCATCGGAATAATTGCAAGGACAACAAGTACATCAGGTTTGGCCCTATCCGCATGTGGCTCATCACCTTGTGATGCAAGATCGTTTCAGATCACGCTCAGGATTCAAAAATTACTGTGCACTCTTCACAGCTTTGAAGCATGCAACGGTAAGTAGCTGTCGACTTAGAAAGGATTCCTCATAGCTCGTTTCTTAGGTCGAATTTTACTGTGTGCATCCTTTCAGTCGGTTCGATGATCATGTGTTTCGTGTATTTCATATCGCTTGTTTGTTTGTCTGCCAATTTTGCCAGCGTCGTCAGCGACTTGATTTCAGGTTTCGCAGTACATCGGTGAAATTTGCAGATACCTGCTGATGCAGCCGCCGTCTGTCGCCGAGAGTCAGCATCAGGTGCGCTTGATGTTTGGCAACGGCATGCGACCGCAGATCTGGAAGGAATTTGTCAGACGCTTTAAGGTGGCGCAGATCGGCGAGTTCTACGGTTCGACCGAAGGCAACACCAGTTTAGGTAATATAACGGCAGCTGATCGTGCAAGTGATGCTCGAGTGCTTCGAAAGCCCAAGTAAATTGCACATACATTCGCGCGCGTATGTACTTGTTATCGTCGTAACAATGCAGGGGGAGCGAGAGTTTTGAGGAAAAAGTTGGTAGGAGGAACCTCGTTTTACAAAATAGAGGTCGGTTTTGTCCCAAACGGAGGGAAAAGGTGAGAGGGTGAAATTTTCGTCGATAGGTGCGATACTGGAGAACGTAACGAGCGAGGAGATCGGCCGGTGACCACTGCAGAAACGTCACGTCTGTATATTAGCAATACCTGGTTCAAGAAGATGACCAACAGGAGACGGACATGGATCGCACCCAACGCAGCGACGAACAGCGAGATCGATCAATCGGTCAAAGATGAAGAAAACTGCCATTAGATGCCTCGCGGAAGGCTGAGATAATGTTAAACGCTGAAAAGGCTAAAGTCGATAAATGCATGTATCCGAACCATGCGACCAGCCTCTGATATGATCATGCGGTAGAGATTCAAGAAGAAAGAGGCCCGATTGACGCGCGTTCTGTTCCATCAAGAACGACCTCTTCGTCAACATCAAGAAAGAAGCCCGTGCCCATCTCTTAAATTCTGTCCTCCTGTCGGCAATATCGTATGGCTGTGAGACATGGTCATTCACTAAAGCCGAAGAGCGCCAACTATATGCCACCAAAAGAATGGCGGAAAGGAGAATATTGCGCATTTCACGTCCGACCACATTTCGAACAAGGTGATCAGACAGCCGAAGGATTGAAGTGAAGGACACTGTCGTCGAAAAGAAAAGGAAGAAGCTACGTTGCGCCGGACATGTAGCTCGCCTGACCGATTGGATGATCGGCGATAATCGTCCACTAATACTCTCGCAGGCGAATTAGACTGCGTGGTCCCCGCCTCGACGGTGGTGGGAATACATATGGAGCGTTTGGAAAGAGACAGAAGATTTGAAATCATGAGGAATGGCTGGCGTGTTACGACGATTCG